CTTCACCCGTATCCTGGAAGACCAAGAAACAAGTAACGGTGTCTCGCGTACCAAGCATATTGAGTTAGATTGCCACTTTGTACGTGAACATATTCTAGCCAAGCATATTACAACAGCTCATGTGCCTTCTCGTTCCCAACTTGCTGATTTGTTTACTAAGGCCTTGGGACAACGCGAGCTTCTTAGTTTTCTTCCCAAGTTGGGCATTTCATCCTTACATACTCCAACTTGAGGGAGAGTGTTGGAGATTATATGTAACGTATATTGTTTGAATTCTTTGTAACCGTAGGTTTGAATTCTTTGTAACGTATATTGTTTGAATTCAATTCTTTGTAACCGTAGGTTTGAATTCTTTGTAACGTATATTGTTTGAATTCTTTGTAACCGTAGGAATGTTTAGATAGAGTATTTATTTGTTTTAGTCTGTTACGTTGTTACCATTTATTGTATGTTCGCCTATTTAAAGGCTACCAATGAATGAGATAAACACACAGTTGAAATATCAAGTTTATCTCACACAAAGCTAGATTTCAAACAGGATATTTATTCACAAGTAGAAGAACGACATGAGATAATAGCAATTCATGAAGAAAGTCAAGAATGTGTTTGATCAAGTTTAATGACGCAACACATCCGAAAAGCATGCGATTCTTAGAAAAAGAGGATTCAACAATATTGCATGAAGATAATGTTGCTTGCATAACTCAATTAAATGGAAGATACATCAAATGAGACAAAACGAAGCATATGTCATCAAAATTCTTCTTCACTCATGATCTTCAACAAAATGGTGAAATTGATGTTCAACAAATTCGTTCAATTTGGCAGATTTATTTATGGCATCACCTACTTCAAGTTTTGAGAATACAAGATCGGGAGTGAAATACGTGCTGCACTCTTTTTTCCTTCACCATGGTTTTGTCCCATTGGATTTTCCTAGTAAGGTTTTAAGGAGGCAACTTCTAATACATATTTCTTCTCAATAGGATTATTAGATATCCAAGGGGGAGTGTTAAGAATAATTTATTGGTTGTCCATATTCGTTATATAATCGTTGGAGACGTTATGGCTGTTGGAGACATTATGACCGTTGCAGAATAATTTCAGTTATTGTAACTTTCATGTTTCTCGAGCCTATAAATAAGGCATCATTGTAGTGTGACAATACAACAAGAATACATTTCCCTATCTCTCTTATCTCTATTCTTCTTCTAATTCTTATTAATTTTACAACAATTTTAACTAAAATTACTTTTGAAATATAAATCACAACGTATAATTTTTATGTCTTAACAAAATCAAGTTTGTAAAATTTAATATAAGTGCAATTGTTTATGGCTCCAAGTTATTAATTTTATCTCTTCAATGTACGGAATAAAAGTGGGTTCTTAAGCGGATGGTTGTTAGAATCCTCATTCATTGCAAATAACTAAATAAGATAGGACTTGTACTGAAGGATTCTGACAGTCTTTGGTTGGGCGATACCGTGTTAACTTTTTCAAAGGATGTATTGAATCAATTGTGAGGTTTATGAGAAGAAAAACATTGCAACCTTGGTTTCGTTCTAATCTGAAAGCAAGACAAAAATAATTTTAGCAATACCAATAGATCAAGGGACATCGCGTTTATATTGAGAAAACATAGAAGTTGCAAATGCAATTTGCAACAAAAACCAATGGGTACTTGATACCACAATAACACTACTTGATACCACAATAACACACTTTTTTTTACCTTTTTTTTATATTATCTTTGGTATATATGTAAATATATACAATAAAAGAGATGGAGATGAAACATAAAAATAAAAATAAAAATGCAAAGGTGTAGGAATAAGATGTTTTTGAAGAAAACTCTATATTAAAAAAAAAAAAGGAAAAGAAAAACATCGAAGTTCTTACTTCTTATACCACGGTTCCAAGTTCTAAATAACAAAAGCTCCAAATATCAGATCTGAAGATACGAACAAAACTAAATATGAAGCATTGGCCTTCAGAAACCAAGTGAATTAATGGAGCACACCACAGTAGTTAGATCGTTTGACATTATCCCTCACCGCATCATATGACATATATATATAGGTGGTTCCCTTTAATTATGCAAATGTAAATCCCAAGTACTCCAAAATCACAAATAGGAGAATTGTCAGAGACTAGTAGCAACCTTCACCTCTTTCAGATTTCGGTTTGCTTGAACCCAACCCCCATCAATAGATTCTAAACTCCCATTTAAGCCATCATCCACGAAGTCACCAACCCTCTTCACTTTAAGTTCTCTGGGCTCAACAGGGTATTTCCCAGAGAAACAAGCATAACAGAAGTTAGGACTGTCATTACCCAAAAGCCTCTGCAAGCTATCAATTGACAGAAAAGCAAGTGAATCTGATCCAATAAACTCCCTTATTTCCTCCAAACTCATTCTATTAGATATCAACTCCTCCGAGCTTGGTGTGTCCACCCCATAATAACATGACCCAATAATTGGAGGGCTTGCAATCCTCATGTGAACTTCCTTGGCACCAGCCTCCTTCAGTAACCTTACAATCTTAGATGATGTAGTTCCCCTCACAATTGAATCATCCACAACCACAACCCTCTTACCTTCAATCACAGCACGGACAGGTGAGAGCTTCAACTTCACCCCAAAGTCCCTAATCTTCTGAGATGGCTCAATGAAAGTCCTCCCCACATAGTGTGACCTGATCAGACCCTGCTGAAAGGGAACCCCAGCTTTGGCAGCATAACCAAGCGCAGCCACCACACCAGAATCTGGAACAGCAATAACAACATCACAATCCACTGGGCTCTCAGTGGCCAATATCTCCCCAAATTGCCTGCGAGATTCATACACCGACCTCCCAAAAACCACTGAATTGGGCAGTGCAAAGTATATATGCTCAAAAATACACTGCTTTGGCTGTGGATGAGACATGAGACAAAGGGATTGAAGGCCATTCTTGTCCACCACCAAAACCTCACCCGGGTACACCTCCCTCTCATAAGTGGCTTCAATCAAATCAAGAGCACAAGTCTCAGAGGCAAAAACAACAGCACCATTACTTCTCCTTCCCATAACCAAAGGTCGAAATCCAAAGGGATCCCTCACCGCAACAAGCTTATCCTCAGTAACAAACACCATAGAATAAGCCCCTTCAAGCTTTTCACAGGCATCAACAATCCTCAATATGAAAGGTCTATGCTTTGAGGTGGCAATAAGGTGAAGAACAACCTCAGTATCAGAAGTGGTGTTAAAAATGGATCCATTCTCTTCAAGCTTGGCCCTTAAGGTGCCATAGTTCACCAAATTGCCATTATGAGCAACCCCAACAGAGCCAAAACGATACCCAGCAACGAAAGGCTGCACATTCTTGAGCATGGATTGGCCTGCGGTTGAGTAACGAACATGCCCAATAGCCAAATTACCAGGTAACTGGTCAAGCTTGGACTCGTCTTTGAACACATCGGAAACAAGCCCAACACCGGTTATCGATTGAAGGACGTTGTTATTGACGGTAACGATTCCGGCACCTTCCTGGCCACGGTGCTGGAGCGCGTGAAGGGCCAAGAAACAGAGACGAGAGGCCTCTGGGTCACCGTATATGCCCACAACACCGCACTCCTCGCGCGGCTTCTCGTCATCCTCGTACGGGACAGGGCCTGCAGAGACAACCTCGGAAACCACGAAGGGGGTTTTGTGGGTGTCGGGGACGGCGCGTGAGAGAGTGGGGGAGAGGAGGAATGTGGGTTTTGGAAGGGTTTTGTTGAAGAGGCGAGTGTTGTTGTTGTTGTTGTTGAGAGGAAGAGGGAAAGCGCAGGGTTTGGAAAGGGAGGAAGAAGAGAGAGTAGAGAGATTAGGTGGTGTTGCAGCCATGGGTGCAGTGAACACAGTTTGGGGGGTTGTAACGCAAAAGAAGGAAGAAGAAAAGAGGCCTCTGGTGAGTGGTGATGGAAAGGGAAGACGAAGAGCAAGACTCGGATGCCACAGTTTTTTCTAGGTTTTGCGTGTTCACAGGGACCAAATCAACTTTTTTTCTTCTCAATTTTTTTCTCTCTTTCTTTCTTTTTATTTAATACTGATTTATAGAATCATCGAAATTCTCTTAATAAAGGAAATTATACCATCTAATTATTAATAAACAATATTTGATTGTGGGGTTGAAAAAGACTGTATATCTATTTATGTAATGTAGCCCACCAAAATATCTATATCGATATTTAGAATATACGGAGTAGGCAAAAAAAAAAAAAATTAACCTGATTAAATGCATAAATCATGCCAATTAAGCTTAACTTTTAATAATTTGTTTCAGTTTTTTTCTCTCAACTCTTTTTAGGACTTTTTGTTGGCTTATTTAAATTAAAAAAGGTTATATAAGATTTATTTTTATTTATAATCTTTTACATACTGTTAATTTCCATCAATTTTATTATTTATTATAAATTAATAATGAATTTAATTTGCAGAAATAATAACTATTGATTGACGAAAATTAATGGTTAAAATATGATTGTAAACAAAATTAAGTTGTAAGTATATCCTTCCTCTTTAAATTATGGATTTAATGTTTGTCTTTAATATAAAATTATATTATTTCAAGTGAGAGAAAGACACAAACAATAAAAAGTATGACTGAGAAAATGAATATTTTTTAAATTTTAAATAAAAAAAACTAGGTTATATTTTTCTCTAATTTAAAATGACACGCTTATATGTTCTTTAAAATGATATTTTTCCCTGTTGTTTTCGTACGTTTCAGAGAGAATTGTCCTTTTTTTTAAAAGAGTCTTTATAATTTAATAACGGTTGATGAATAGGAATCCATTTAATTTTTTTTAAAATATGATGACTCTGTTAAAAAAATTTAAAATATAAAGATTATTATTACGAGACTATGATTTTTCTTTTTTATTCCTCTGACAGCAAAAAAAATTGCGTTACTCGTGTAAAAGTTTGTGTATAAAATCTCAAAAAATTTAACGTGTTTCATAATTAAGAAAAGGAGAAGGTATGTGAAGACTGAAGATTATTATTTTGTTGGGAAATAATACTCTCATGCCACATGAGATACTCTTATTTTCCTACACAAATTCGTTCTCCGTGCCAATTAATTTTTCTTTTCTTTTTTAATATAAAATATGGGACCCACATTTAACTTCTCCCTACTTTTTTTCTCTCCTACAATCCTACAACATAAGAAAAGTTAAACCCTATTTTGTTTTCTCTTTTGGCAAACTTTGTGAGACTTAATATCAATATAAACAACATCGTTGTTAGAATTATGGGTGTTCACCAATTGATCCAAATCGTGGTGACCAAACCGAAAAATTAAAAATCGAAAAAAATTGAAAATTTTAATTGGATTGGATGGGATCAGTTTTCGGATTGGTGATTAAAATCAATTCAATTCAAACCGATCCAATATATTAATTCTCCTCTATCTACTCGGGTCTTTTCACAATCAGCCCAAAAATTTTTAAACCCAAAACTATTAACCCATCAACTAAATTCAAGAAAAAACTTAATCATCTCTCATCAACAAAATTTTATTTATGTAGAGCTTTATGTCACATTGCCAAAATTTTTTTTTATCATTTATTGATACTTTTGTATTTAAAAAAAAAAAATTTACAAAGTCAATATATACAAAAAGAAATTATTTGCACGATAATCATGCAACAAATTTTTGAATTTTTAAAAAATCGAAAATTGATCTAATTCAAACCGAAAAAATTTAAATTGGATCGGATAGGATTTGAAAAAAAATTCAAACTGAATGAATGATTATATAATCAAATCGAAATGATTGGATCAGATAATTTTTACTTTTAAAATCGATTTAATCCAGACGATAACATCCTTAGTCAGAATGACAAACCGTGGAGAGATTGATCAAACCTTGATGATTCCACAACATTAGTCTCGTTGGACCCCTGGGGGCGATTTGTGGCTAGCGCGCCCAGTGTCTTCTTCGTCCAAATTTTAAACAAATATGACCGGAACATATTTTAAGTCATACTCGTATGTATATATCATGAAATTTTGAGTGTATAATTATTTATTAGTATATCAGTATTTTATTAACTTAATCTGCATAAATTGAATAAATAAAGGGTAAAACACTTCTCCTTTAACTAGAGAAGTGATATCTCATGTGACTGAAATATAATTTATGAATCCCACCAGTTTTGAAAAAAAATATAAAAATAAAAAGATTTGACACAAGACTCGATGTTAGTGTAAAAATAATTTCTATTTTTCTGTTGAAGGAGAAATTAAATCCCATAAATAAAACCTACTATGTTGCTCTAAGAATCCAACAATGGCAGCAAAAACGAGCCCTTCTAGCTCCCTTCCTGTTCTCAAAGTCTGTGTGAACCAGGTTCATTTTCATCAACTCTACAACTAGGGACGTTAACGAGCCTAGCCGAGTCGAATTTTAGTCTTAAAATGTTAAGCCTGTGTTTAAATGTGTCAGCCTGATCAAGCCTGTTACCTGTTATAATATAATTATCGGTCTGTGGCCTGACTTATTTACAAAAATTAAAAGTCTGGTTTAGCCTATTTAAAAAAAAAATAAGATAACAAAAATTTATCCAAACAGAATATATAATCAACAATACTAATAATTCCATAAATATTCATAAATGCAATGTATATCCAAACAGCATAATATAGAATAAAATCATTCAAAAACTCTGTGTAACGAATAAACTGAGGTGAAAAGTATCGAGGAGAAAGAGAGGAATATTACAAGTAGTATAAAAAATATAAAATATAATTAAATAATATTATATTAGACCAGCCTGAGAGGCTCTAAGGTCGAGCTTTTGAATTGGAGTCTGAGACCTTTTTATTAAACGAGCTTTTATACAAGTTCAAGCCTGGTGCTAACAACCAATTTTAGGGCATGTTTGGTGCATAGTATAGTATAAGGCATGATAGTATAAGACCTGATTAAATTTTAATACTATCCAGCGTTTGGTATGGTATTGTATAAAATAATATCCTCCAATATTTTAAAAATTAATATATTAAAAAAAATTATTGTAATATATAAATATTGAAATGATATATTGTTCTTGAAAATTGTACTTGTAAGCAATATTAATACATCAACTCCTTATCATGCCTAATCCACCACTCCTAGGCTTGATTAAGTTATACATCATTTTGATGTATAAAGAGATCCTGCTGTATAAGCTTATACTATACGATAGTCACACCAAACAACTGAAAATGTCATAACGTATAGTATAAACTTATACTATCAGACTTTATACATCACACCAAACAGGCCCTTAGACATGCAAACTCAGACCTTCACTACCCAAACCAAAAATCCCTAAAAAGCCCTCGTTTATTTAGCACTCCTATCTACAACATTAGCGCGCGGCATAAAAGATGGGTATTCGAGTTTGAAAAGTCAAGCTAGCATCTTCCAAAAATTAAAGTGTGCAGATACAAAAAGTTATTCTCAAAGTAGCAGGACTCAGTAATAATGACAAGGGCTTTATTAATTTTTAGAATTATTTTATGTCGTAGAGAGAAAATAAATAGATCTTACAATTATAAGAAAAAAAGGTTTGTTTTTTTACAATTATTGTAGTAAGACTAATATGACGTCATTGTGGAATGAAAAACATTGTATTTTTATAATTTTAATTTATTTCAGGGTTATTATAATCTTTATAATTAATTTTTTAGTTTTTCAATCCTAAAACGATGTCGTTTTGGGAATAAATGCAGAAAACTTATCTGCAGCAACTGCAGATATATTATTCTATAAGAAAAAAAAAGAAAAAAGAAAAAAGATAAAGTGCAAAAATCGAAGTGACAGAATATGAGAGGAGTTCTCTTATGTAAAATGAGAATAATATTTTCCTAATAATAATAACAATAATAATACTTGTTGGGTTTAGTATTTTATTTAATGAAATTATCATTTTTTATTTTTTTTATGAAATTGTAAAAATATATTAATATAATGGTTTGGAAAAATATTTTTTAATATAAAAATTAATAAATAATTTTTAGTCTAACATCACTTACAAAAAAACTAAAAACAGTGTTTTCAAAAAAAATAAAAACAGCTTTTATGACGAAAAAACTGTTTAATCAACTAAAAAAATTAAGGAAAAAAAGTATCTAATGTTACTTTAGACTGCTTTATCTAATGTTCGTCGAAACAACGTCGATTTAGGGTTGAAAAATTAAAAAATTAAAATGATAAAGACTATTATACTCTAAAATAAATATAAAATATAATTAATACGATAAGTATTTTTTTTTTAAATTCCGTTTTTTTCTGATACGTTTAGTATACAATATCTTTAATGTCTTATTCATTGGCAATCAAATTCATTGGCACAAATTTAGTGTGTTGACACCTTTGACAAATATTTGATTTTCTGATCATATACAGTTAGGGTGTATGTAATTTTTAATTTTAATTTTTAACAAAACCGCACGTCAAGATTAGGAATATCCTTGTAAATGAAACTGACCATTGATTTTGTAATTTGTATCGAAAGCTTCCTTTTGAGGAGCCGCCTATGCTTTCTTGGCTACGTTGGAGACTAAAACATCTTTAGTTGATTTTGAGAATTTATTTGAATTGGATTCGGATCACTTTCGGCCATTGGTTTCTCTTTTTTCTTCCACCTTACGTGAAAGATTTTTGAGATTCCGTCAAGTAACACTAGAATTTATTCTTTTTATATGTCTGATTTCCTCCCTCTTCAGTCAGAAAGTT